CCCAGATGGCCACAATGGTTGGAGCTGTGCCGATCCAAAGCCAGGAGCCAGGAGCTTCTTCTGGGTCTCCCAAGTGGATGCAGGGGCCCAGGCACTAGAGCCATCTTCTACTGCTTTCCCAGGCACATTAGCTGGGAGCTGGATCAGAAGTGGAGAGGCGGGGACTCGAACCCATATGGAATACAGGCGGCGCAGGCAGGGGTTCAGCTCGATACACCACACCACCAGCACTGTGTGCGATGATGCCCTCAGCTCTTAAAGAGAAGATGCCTTGTCCCTTTGCTTGGCTTTCTAACTTTTGGGAAGTCCTTCTGTTGTCTAACTCTCTTCCTTCCTAATGGAGAGCCTCAAACAGCCCCAAGGAAGAGCTTCTGCCCAGGCTCCCAGCCGTGAGGACCGGGAGGATGCAGCAGCCCACCTGGAAGGAGGACGTGCTCGCTCTCAGCAGAGAAGAAACAGCGAGGGAAGGGGAGACGAGACCTGCCCGGCCACGGCCCGCAAGGCAGCGCCGGGCCTCCTGCCATAAAGGGAGACAGGTCCCCGGGGCCAGTGTCGTGGTTAAGCCGCGCCTGTGAGCTCAGGGTCATACGCCACTCACATGGAGTCAGGGTCAGGGTCAGGCTCCTGGCTTCAGCCTGGCCATGGTGGCCATCTGGGGAGTAAATCAGAAGTTAAAAGATTCTCTCTCTCTCTCTCTCTTTCTCTCTAACTCTGCCTTTCAAATAAATAAATAAATCTTTAAAAAAAAAAAAACTTTAAAAAAGGGAGAAAACTCTCTGAAGGTTTTTGTTTTCGTTTGTTTGAAACGCAGAGGAGAGACAGAGCTCTCCCATTTGCTGGTCCACTCCCCAAACGTCCACAACAGCCAGGGCTGGGCCAGGTGCTGGGAATTCAACCCAAGCCTCCCAGGTGGGTGCAGGGGCTCAACCGTTTGAGCCGTCACCTGCTGCCTCCTCTGGTGAATGTTACCGGGAAGCTGGGATCCAGAGCGGGACCAGGACTCAAACCCAAGCAGCACCTTAACCGCTGCGCCAAACACCCACCTCAGATCTCTGAGTTTTCATGCACTGAATACGAAGCCTCAGCATTGAGGCTGGCCCTGTGCTGCCTACGATGCCGGCATCCCATATGGGTGCTGGTTCCTGTCCCGGCTGCTCCACTTCCGATTCAGCTCCCTGATAATGCATCTGAGAAAGCCGCGGAGGATGGCCCAAGTGCTGCAGCCATGTGGGAGACGCAGATGCAGCTCCGGCTCCTGGCTTTGGCCCGGCCCAGCCCCAACTGTTGCAGCCATTTTGGGAGTGAACCAGCAGACGGAAGATTCCCCCTCTCTCTCTGTCTGTCTCTCTCTCCCTCTCTCTCTCACCATGCCTGTCACATAAATACATAAATACTTTTGAAACATCGATTAAACAACCGTGTAGGACTCAAAGTAGTGCCTTATGCAAAGAGCGCGCAGAAGGGGTTGACACAGAATTTGTGGTGTGTACCAGCCCTTTAGTGGATGAGATTCCATGAACCCTTGTTGAGTGAGAAAATGACGTCACTCCACGGCTGCCTCGCCTACCCCAGCCCTGAAATGGCTTCTCAGCAGATTCTCAGAACCAGCAGGCCTGGCTCCCGTCCTGACTAGCCTCCCTTCTCCATCTGTAAAATGGGCATAAGAATCCCTGCTCCATGGGTAACTGTTAAGATGAAAGAAAGCAACATGTCTGAAGCTGCGTTGCCCACTGGAAGCCACCAGCCACGGGTGGCTACTTAATTTTTTTTTAAGATTTATTTATTTGTTTGAAAGGCAGAGTTACAGAGAGGCAGAGAGAGAGAGAGAGGTCTTCCATCTGCTGGTTCACTCCCCAAATGGCTCTGAAGGGCTATTTAAATTTAAATGGATCAAAATTGAATAAAATTTGAAATTCATTGCCTTTGTCACATTAGCACATCACAGATGCTTAGTGACCTAATGTGGGCTGCCTCGTTGAACGTTGAACCAGAGAGACAAATATTTGCATCACCACAGAAAGTCCAATCAGACTCCAGGGGTCCTCCGCACTCAAGCCAGGGCCTGGTCCCAGAGAGCATGCGCAGGAAGTGAGCCCTGCCTCTCCTGGAGGGCGGGGACCGGTCCCTCCTGCGACACCCTGCCCGAGTCCCCAGTCCCTGGGCTGTGCGCCAGGTTGACTGACAACCAGGGTCGGGGGAGAAGGGGAGAGGAGGGGAAAGGTCAGGGGATTGGTGACAGGGGCTGCCCAGGGACCTGTGTCTGAGGCAAGAAGGAAGAGACACCGAGAGGAAACGGGAAGAGGAGAGAGAGCCAGGCTCGCTAGAGCTGTGCCCCGGGGCCCTGGAAGTAGACAGACGATGAACATTCTCAGTGTGCCAAACTCAGAGTATGCTGCTGGTGACGCCTACTGAGGGGGCGGGGGATAGTGGGCAAGGAGGCAGGAGAGACCGGGAGGTGCCTTTTTGGATGGCAGTCGGCAGGTCTGCTGGGGAAGGTGCTAGATTACTGCAGATATCAGAGGTCAGGAGATTACCCAGCAGAAAGAGCCGCCAGTGCCAAGATCCTGAGGCGCTAACTTTCCCGGAGTGTGGGGAGAAGTGAGCAAAGAGGCGGTGGGGAGGAGCCTGGTGTCAAGCCGGCTAGGGCTCTCCGCATTTTCTCTCAATGAAAAGGCTTCCCCATGGGAGGGCTGTGAGTTTGAGCAGAGGAGGGATCTCCTTTGACTTAATATTTATTTTTAAAGATTTATTTCAGGGACAGCACTGTGGCATAGCGGGTTGAGCCACCGCCTTCGGTCCTGGCATCCCGTATGGAAACTGGTTCGAGTCCCGGCTGCTCCACTTCCGATCCAGCTCCCTGCTAATGCACCTGGAAAAGCAGTAGAAGATGGCCCAAGTGCTTGGGCCCCTGCACCCATGTGGGAGACCTGAAAGAAGCTCCTGGCTCCTGGTTTCAAATCAGCCCAGCTTTGGTCACTGCGGCCATTTGGAGGGTGAACCAGTGGATGAATGGTGTCTCTCTCTGTCTCTGTCTCTCCCTCTCTCTGTAACTCTGCCTTTCACTAAGTAAATAAATGTTTTTAAGTGGTTGGGTTGTGTCTCAATAAATCTATTATTTTAAATAAATGTCATTCTGGCTGCCACACTGAAAACAGACAGGAAGACGCCAAGGCAGGGACGACAGGAACTGGCCACCAGGAGAGGGAACAGCACCTCGGCCAGGGCGGGAGCAGCGGAATGGTGAGATGTGCGTAGATTCTGGATTGATTTTGAAGGCAGAGCAGACGGAATCACAGGAGAATTAGGTGTGGGATATAAAAGTGATATCAAAGATGGTGCCAGGGGCCAGCATTGTGGAACATCGGGTTAAGCCACTGCTTATGACACCGGCATCCCCGATGAGCACCAGTTCAAGTCCTGGCTGCTCCAATTCAGAACCAGCTCCCTGCTAGTGCACCTAGGAAAGCAGCAGAAGATGGCCCAGGTGCTCGGGCCCCTGCCCCCATGTGGGAGGCCCAGGTGGAGTTTCAGACTCCTGGCTTCAGCCTGGCCTATCCCTGGCCATTGTGGCCATCTTGGGGGGTGAACCAGCAGATGGATGCTCTCTCTATCTTTCTGTCTCTGTAACTCTGCCTTTCAAATAAATTTTTAAAAATAAAGATTGTTCCACAGCCTGGGGCTTAGGAAACTCAGAAGTTAAGAAAGGGGAAATTCTAGAAAAAGGGAGGGGCTAGCCTGTAAACACACCCATCAAGGGCGAAGGGCGGCACCCCGACTGCCCTCAAAACTTAGATTCCAAGACCTTGACCTTTTTTTTTTTTTTTAAGAAATGTTTATGTGGGGAGGGGGGCATTGTGGCATAGCAGGTAAAGCTGCCGCCTGCAGTGCCAGCATCCCATATGGGTGCCAGTTTGAGTGTCAGCTGCTCCACTTCTGATCCAGCTCCGTGCTAATGCACCTGGGAAAGCAGTGGAAGATGGTCCAGGTCCTTGGGCCCCTGCACCCACATGGGAGACCCAGAAGAAGCTCCTGGCTTCAGATGGGCACAGCACTGGGCAATTCAGCCATCTGAGGAGTCAACCAGCAGATGGAAGACCTCTCTCTCTTTCTCTCTCTCTCTGCCTCTGCTTCTCTGTACTCTGCCTTTCAAATAAATTAATTAATTTTCTAAGAAAGAAATGTTTATTTCTTCATTTTTATTTATTTTAAAAGCAGGCAGAGAGAGAGAGAGAGAGAGAAGTCTTCCATCCTCTGGTTCACTCCCCAGACGGCTGCAATGGCTGGAGCCAGGAGCCAGGAGCTGCTTCTGGGTCTCCCACGTGGGTGCAGGGGCCTGAGGACTTGGGCCATCTTCCACTGCTCTCCCAGGCCATAGCAGAGAGCTGGATCTGAAGTGGAGCAGCTGGGACTTGAACCAACGTCCATATGGGATGCCAGCACCGCAGGCAGCAACTTTACCCACTACACCACAGTACCGGCCCCCTTAGTCACTCTGATATGAGGTGCAGGTGTCCTAAGCGGTAGCTTCCACAGCACCTATTCCAAAGACCTTGGCTTTTCCCTGTATGCTGACCTCCCATCCCTCAGTCTTGGAGCGTCAGTGCCCCCCCCCCAAGGCGGCTGAGGGACTGAGGAGGACAGAGTGGCTCCTGCAGGGCACTGACGGAGCACTGGTTCCTCCCCGTCCCCTTCCTTTGGACCTTCCAGCTGAGCCTGCTCTGAGCCAGGCCCCTGGAGAGATTGAGGGGTGGGGGGAATCTCTCCAGTCTTAGACTACACAGTGAGCACTGGGCTGCGGCTCCCAGCCGCCCGATTCCTACAGCAGGAAGAGAATGGGGCCCGAGGGCAGCCTGGCTGCTTTGCCTGCACCCTCTCTGGGGGCAGAGGGGCGGGCACCCACACATTTGGGCCTGGCGGAGGAGTTGCTCAGAGCCAGCTCTCCTCAAACTAGCGGGAGATTCTAGGAAGCCTTTAATTACCACCTTAGAGCGGATGCTAGGTTAATGTGATGATTCAAAAGGTGTATTATTCAATTACACTTAACGGAAAGATTTATAGTCAAGTAAAACATAATTAGGAGGCTGCCAGCAGACAGGCCGCCTGGGAGGAAGAAAGAGAGGTGAGCCGGACTCTTAACGAGGCAGGCTGGAGCCTAGGCTATGGAACTTGCTCGCCCTTCCCCACCCCTCTTCAAAGGCGACGAAGCAGTGGCTGGCATCCCACACGTCTGCGCTGGTTCGAGTCCCAGCTGCTCCACTTCTGAGTCGGCTCCCTGCTAATGCACCCTGGAAGGCAACAGATGATGGTCTAAGTACTTGGGCCCCTGCCACCTATAGAGGAGACCCAGATGGAGTTCTGGGCTCCTGGCTTCACCCTGGCCCAACCCCAGCCCTCGCAGTCTTTTAGGGAATGAACCAGTGGATGGAAGATTCTCTCTCCATCTCTTTCTCTGTCCCTCTGCCTCTCAAATAAATAATTAAATAAATATTTTTAGATGAAAAAACACTGGGGACAGTGTTGTGGTACAGTTGGTAAAGCCACTGCCTGTGATGCCGGCATCCCATGTGGACACTGGTTTGAGTCCCAGCTGTTCCACTTCTGAACCAGCTCCATGCTAATGGCCTGGGAAAACACTGGGAGGTGATCCAAGTGCTTGGGCTCCTGATACCCATGTGGAAGACCAGATGAAGCTCCTGGCTCCTGACTTTGGCCTGGTCCTGCCCTGGCCATTGCAGCCATCTGGGAAATAAATCAGCAGATAGAAGATCTTGCTTTTGCTCTCACTCTCTGAAACTCTGACTTTCAAATAAATAAAAAATTAAAATCTAGGGGCAGTGTCATGGCATGGGTGGTTAAGCCTCCCCCTGTAGCACCAGCATCCCATATGGGTACCAGTTCAATTACTGGCTGCCCTACTTCCAATCCAGCTCCCTGCTATGCACCTGGAAAAAGCAATGGAAGATGGCCCAAGTGCTTGGGCCCCTGCCTCCTTCTGTCTGTAACTCTGCCTCTCAAATAAATAAATACATCCTTTAAAAAATGTGTCAGTCACGCCAAGAGTGGGAGAGAGTCAAGGGGATGGGTGGGTTGGTGAAAGCAGCCCAGGCCCCGGCATGAGAAGGCGCTCTTAGGATTTGCAGAATGAAAAGAAAGGCAGCAAGGCTAGTGAATGGAGAGAGTGGCAAACAATGGCACTGATGAGGGAGGCCCAGCCATCCCCACCATCAGTTCTGAATCTTGTCACCCCCCCCCCCCAGGAAGAAAACCATAGCCATCAACATCACTCCCCTTTTCCCTCCAAGATCCCAACCCCTGGCAGCTAGATTGACTTTATTCTATATGCTAAGGAAGCCACCGGGGAATTTTTAGGCAAGGAGTGAATGACCCAGCTTATATCTCTTTTAAGGCTTATTCTTAACTTATTTTCATCTACGTGGAAGGCAGAGTGACAGAGAGAGAAAGATAGAGATCTTCCATATACTAGTTCACTCTCCAAGTGCCTACAAAAGCCACAACTGAGCCAGGCTGAAGTAAGGAGCTAGGAACTCCATTCGGTCTTCCATGTGGGTAGCAAAGGTCTAAGCACTTAGGCCATCATCCACTGCCTCCCATGATGTTAGCAGGAACCTGGGTCAGAAGCCAAAGAGCTAGGAGCCAGTACTCACACTGGCTCTCTAATATGGGACATGGGTATTACAAGCGGGAGCTTAAATTTTTAAAAGAGAGCTCTGTGGCTGGCACTGTGGTGTAGAAGGTTAAGCCTCTGCCTGCAGTGTAGGCATCTCATATGGGCACTGGTTCAAATCCTGGCTACTGTGCTAAGATGTCTCAAGTACTTAGGCCCCTACACTCACATGGGAGATCTGGAAGAAACTCCTGGCTCCTGGCTTTGGCCTGGTCCTGCCACAGCTGATGTGGCCATTTAGGGAGTAAGCCAGCGAATGGAAGATTTCTCTCTGTCTCTCTTTCTCCTCTCTGTATCTCTGCCTTGCAAATAAACAAGTAGATCTTAAAAAAAAAAAAAAAAGAGTGAAAGGAGTTCCCCAGCTTCTGTGGGAGAATGGATCAGAGGTGGGCAAACAGGGGGACTCTCCGGGAGGCCCAGGGTGTGGGAGAGAGCTGGCTTAGGGGAGAGCACCGAGGGAGAGAAGCACTTGGATTGGAGGGACGTTTTAGAGGAGAATCTGTGGTTCTTGGTGAGAATCTACGTAGAGAGTGTGAGGGCCCAGGAGAACTTGAAGACACCTCCTAGGATTCTAGCATGAGCCAGTGATTGGGAGCTGCTGTTGATTGAGATGGGGAAACCAAGAGAAGAAACAGGAAGAAGGCTCACAGACAGGGGCTCAGGCTGGCAAGGGAGGCCCCCTTGAGGCTTCCTGGCCCTGTGGGAGGGAGGACCAGATGACCTAGCCCACGGGGGTTCCTCTGAGCACCCATTCTGCTGCTACCCAGCTGGTCCTTCTGCTTTTTTTTGTCGGCTGAACTTCCTTGTGCTGCTCTTTGGAGTGCCTGTGCCTCTCTCGCTTAGACATAAAATTCTCTCATTCTCAGTTCCCGTTAGCTGCCTAAAGTTCCCAAGATTCTACCAGCAAACCCCAACCATACTGGGATTCACTGAGTACTCAGGACGGGTCAGACTCTGCCCTGGAAGCTTTTGCTGCATTATTTCATTCAATTCTGCCAGTGACTCTTTCCATAGTCTCAAAAATACCATAATAATAATAATAGCGACTACTATAATGACAGCTCACTTGAGCTCAACCCTTTACACGAATGGTCGTTTTGAAATCTCACCAGGAAATAGCCTGCCCAGGTGCACACAGCCCGCTAGAATCAGGACTGGGATGAGAAATCCAGGATGGTCCCAGTACAACAGGGTGATGGCACTGGCTGCCTTCCGCCTCCCATTCACTCGTGCTTCTCAAATAAAGTACAGAGGCAGCATTACCCAAGGTCAAGCACCTTGATGACCACCCCAGCACCTGCACTGTGCTGGAGAAATGTGTCCCTTTCTTAGGTGGGCACCGCTGACATGGAAGCTTCCAGACTCTTGGAATAGTTGCCTGGTGTCACAGGGAGGGAGGCGTCCTGCTGCAGAGTACAGGATCCTGCTCACTGTTACCAAAGTGCTATCCCTGCTTCCTCCATCCCCTGAGAGTGGTGTGTGTGTGTGTGCATTGGTACAGGAATTAGTGTGCACAGGGCCAAGAGATTTGCACACGTGTGCAAGCCAGATGAAGTCTGCATTCTGTGTGTCTCCCTCAGGATATGTGTATGAGGGGAAGATTATTGAGCCCCCTGGGTCCTCACAAAAACAAGTAATGTAAATTTCCTCATGCACGTGCCCACGGGTGCAGTTCACACAGGATGGAAAGGGTCTGCCCCAGAGTTGAGTTCTGAGCTCAGCGCTTCACCTCTCCCTGCCATCTCTAGCTCCCTGCCTCCTCCCACCTCCCCCCAAGCCGGGCAGAGTGCCCTCAGCCTGTGCCGGCTGGCACACACGCCACATGGTGCCTGGCGCGCGTCTGGGCAAGGATGACGCCCCCAGGACCGGCTGGGATACCAAGCTACCCGCTGCCTCCCCCACCTCCAGAACGGAGCGTCCCCATCTCGTCCCCTTTCCCAGCCAGGGACTTGGGGAGCAGGCGGGGACACAGCACAGACAGATACAAATGCACAGATGCACCCAGAGACGCCCACAAGCGTGTGCCCCACAGAGGCACAGACACAGCGTTTGCATAGACTCGGGCACACACAGGCACTCAGAGGAAGTCAGGCAGTGGCAGAGACCTGCCCAGCCATTCCCAGGAAGTGCACCCTGTATCTCTGTCCATGGTGCTGAAACCAGAAGACTTGATTGTCGTCTCTATGGAAGGACAAGGCAGCAAAAGGATGGGAGAAACAGACCTGGAAATAGGTGGAGAGAAGGAGAGAGAGAGAAACCCAGAATTAAAGGAGTGATGGAGAGAGGAACCCAGGGGAAATGCCTGACCCCTGGCACTGGGAGAGGAAGGTGAGAATAGGAGGTGCTCTCAGCCAGCACGGGCTCCCACGCAAGGATTTATCCCTCTTTGTCTTTCAGGGCCAAGAATGGGAAGAGTTTGGGAAGGATGCTGTGGCAGGTGTGGGATCCCAGACGCGTGGCTTCTGTGGCCTCCAGCTGCCCCTTCCAGGTGCCACCTTGCTCTCGATGGCCCGAACATTGTAGGGGAAAGAGGCAGACGTGGCAAAAGTCCTATAGTGGTCCAGCAGATAGCTCCCCACCTGATTTCTTATCTGGATTTATGTTGGGCAAGTGGACAATAATGTTGATCTGGATTTGTTCTAGGGATTTCAGGGATTTAGTGACTGCTTAATGCTTATCCGTAAGATTGGATTATAGGTTCCTCTCTCCTCTTGAGATAAAAACTTCCCTCCAGTGAGACTGCCTAGTAGGGATGGTCTTCCCACTGGCAGCCCCTTACTTATGAGATCTATGCAACATGAAGAATACCTACTCTCCTGGTGGGGGATATTTCCAAGAACTAAAGGGATTATCATAACTGGGTGAGAGAGAAGGAGGGAAGGCAAGGGAGAGAAAATAAAAAGAGGAAAAGGAAGGTAAAATGTGTGAAGATGTTTGAGAGGATGAAGGAAGGGAGGGAAGGAGAGGAGACTGCGGACAGAGGAAGGAAGGTGGTGGACATGCAGACAGCAGGAGCAAGAGAGGGCACTCTGGTGTCTGGGGAAAGGGCAGGGGAAGCTTGCCGTGGGGAGCACATTGCTCTCCTCAGACTTTCCAGAGGTCCAGTTCAGACTGGAATCCCAGCCTGGCCCTGCAGCTGTTCATAATGGCATCCAGAGCTTCAGGCAAGAGAGACCCTAGGGGCCAGGGCTATGCATGTGAGGAGCAGCTGCCCCAGCAAGAAGGTGAGGCCAGATGCAGTTGTGTGTGTCGGGGGGGGGGGTTCCTCCTGAGTGGGACAGGCAGAGCGGCTGCCTCCTTGGGGGTGTTTCTACTTATGCTCATGTGGGCTGTGGCAGAAGGCAAAGGACACATGTGTGTGCTTCACTGGAGGGTGGCTACCAGGTTGACTGAGGGCAAAGAGCAGGTAGAAGAGGAAGAGAGACAGAGGGAGAGGAGTAAGTAGGAAAGAAATGATACTGGCTTTTTTTTTCCCGTCAAGACAGAAGGCTAGGCTTTAAGCTGGGATTTGAGCCTCAGCTCCCCTGTGTGGAATGTAGGTGTAAGGAGAGTCTAAGCAACAACACTGTGAGGATGAGTCTGGTGAGGTACTAAGTCAATTACTGGCAGATGAAGGCATTTTAAAAAGGTCAAGGAAAATGGAATGGACCCAGCTCTGAGGTCTCCCCTAGGCACCATGGAGGCCTGTGCTTTCCCAAATCTTCAAGTTCACTCCCAAGAGAGGTAGCCAATATATTTTCTGAGGTGCAAGGAGGAAACTCCATGGTAAGGAAAGTGACAGAGTCCTAGGGCACAGGGTACTGTGCCTTCTCTCCAGGGGTTCTCAAAGACCCTGGGTTCCTGGAGCAATCGAACCTTGGCCTCCCCACCCAGCCTGAGCCTCCGGCATCTGCCCTACTATGTGCTGGTGCTGCAGGCCCCATGCAATCCTGGGTCGGTGTGAACCATTTCTTCCAGATTGCTCTCCTAACCCCAATTCCTTCCTTTCCTTCTCCTTTTTCTCCCCGACCTTTCTTCTTTTTTCTCAGGGATCTAGTTGGAAGGAAAGGAATTCCCTCACTACTTAGAGGGATGGGATTCCCCCATCCTGCAGCAGCAAAATGCATAGTCTCATTCTGGAGGGCAAGGACGTATGTGGAGGCTGGCACAGGGAAGGTAAGGGGTGGCAGGGCAGCCCCCATGTCCCCCCATTCCTCCCAGCTCCTGTCTCATCACTGTCACCATTCAATCATAGCAGATGGGCTGCAGCTGTGAGCGCCAGCCCGGCACACAGGCTGGTCCGTGCCACTTGGGAGAGAAGGAAGAGAAAGGGAGGGAGGGAAGGAGCAGGGATGAGGGAGGAGGGAGAGAGGAAAGGGAAGAAGAGGAGGAGGAGGAAGAAGAAAGGGAGGAGGGTGGAGGAGGAGAGAGAAGGCTTGCAGAGACAGGAGACTTGGTTCCTTTTATGCCTCTCTCTTCCCAGCAGGAGCACAGAGGCCAGGGCTGGGCTCACAAGCTGGGCAGTGCCAGGCGAGATGGGCATATGCCCTTGATTACCACCAGGACCGCAGGCCAAGCCTCCACAGCCGCCACGGCCTCATAAATCAGTTTGTAAGTAGCAACCACATGGACATTTCCCAGCTGAGAGGCCTGGCCTCTGTCGGCCCAGCTAGGGCAGCCCTGGTGGAGGGGCAGGTGCCAGGCCAGGGCACTGAGGAGACAGAGAGGTGGCCGCTGAGGTTTGCTGGGAAGGTTGCAGATGCAAAACCTGAGGACAAGGGCTCCTGTCACGAGGGAGTAGTAAGAAGGTGACAAGCAGCTGGTAGTGGGTCCAGGACCCCCTGCCCCTGGATTCCCTTGACCAAGGTGCTTATAGATGGGGTGGGGGCACTGTCGCTGTGAACCCCTCCCTCTCGCTCCCTCCTGCGCTGGGAACACAGTTCTGTGTGAGTACCTCCAGCTGAAGGGCCTGGCATTGAGTGTGTGAACTTGCTCCCAGACTGACAGCGTCTGGGTAGCAGGAAAGTTCCTCCAAGGTCCTGCATAGACCCATCCCGGGCCAGGCACCCAAAAAATTAGCCTATGCAAATGAGTGATTGACGGGGGAAGGGTCAGTTATGTAGACTTGTGTGTGTTCACAGAAATGGAGGATTTATACCCGACTCTGGTGATCCAATTTGTGTGCGTGTTGGGGGGGGGGTGTCCTAGGGCGCGCGCGGAGGGGGGGGAGGACCCTGACATCCTCCCTACCCTCCCTTTCAGGATCTCCACCACAGCCCTCCCTTGAGTTTCCTCTTCTGCCCACCCGGCAAAGGGTGTCAGCTCGTGCGCTCCCCTCCCCCACCTCATAGGAGGCTCCCCCCAACCCATCCCGCCGAGTCCCGCGATGATGGCTGGGTCCGTGGATCCGCCCGGCGCCACTGGCTGCAGAGCGGGTGGGGAGAGGGCGCCCAGGCTTCTAGAGCGCGCACGGTGTCTCCTCCCTGGGTGAACAGATGTCTCGGAATTTTAGATGTGCTCTCCGCCCCTCCTCACAATAACTCCCCTCCCCAGCTGGCACCGGCTGTGGCGTGGTGCCCTCCTCCCCCCACGCCCAGAGCAGAACCGGCTCACGGATCTGGAAGGCCTGGGCCGGGCGGCCGCGTCGGCGGCTCCGGGAGCCCAGAGAAGCGGCGGGCGCGGCCGGCCGGGGTCTCTTGCTTCCTGCTCTCCTTCCTCCCCTTCTTCCGATCTCTTCAGCCCCGACTTTCCACCGCCTCGGTCCTGCTCCTCTGCTCTGCTGCGCAACCCACCCCTCGCGGGTCTACGCAGACCCTCACACTTTGCAACAGAAACTCCTCCTGGCAACTTCGGCAGAATTCTTCCCTCTAGGGACCCCTTTTTTCCTGCCTCCCGGGAGCCCCTCCCCACCAACTGGCCCCCTGCCCCAGGTAGAATCCCAGAGTTAATCCGGAAAACCTAGGGGGAGGGCAGGAGCGGGGTGGGGATCCGGATCAGGGAGGAGGAAGGGACAGGCTTGGCAGTGGCTGCGAGACACCCAAATTTTCTAATCACTGCTAATTAATGAATAATCCGATTCTGAAGACCCCCTAACTCAGGGAAGAGGGCGGGACCCGCAGCGGGCAGGAGGGGGTCTTGGCAGCCCTTGGCAGCAGGGCGGTGCCAGGCGCCCGCCCCCCCACCCGCCAGCATTCCGAGGTAACAGGCATTTGTTACCCAACTGGTGCCAGGAGCGATTGGCAGGTTCCAGTAGGCACAGTCATTCCGCACACAGATGTCCCTGCGTTCACTCTTCTGATATGAATTCTGGCAGCTCCGAATCCAGGAGAGACGAGCAGACAGCTCCGCAGACAGAGTCACAGACAGACAGTGATCGTCTGCGGAACACAGAACTCAGGAGATAGTTCTTTCTCTTCCCTGAAATCATTAAAAAAGGAAGAAAGACAAATAAGAAAGGCTGCCACTAACTGTAGAGGCACACTTCCAGGACCCCAGCCCCTTCTGCCCTCCTCCTGTTGCCCACCCAGATTTTCCCAGGAGCTGAGGCCCCCACAAGGTGGTCGTGGTCGAGATTCAAAGCTGCAGCCTGGCAAACAGAACCGGTGATGTCTCTGAGGTCTGCGTCCTCACCCAGGACCCTTCTGGAATTCTAGAATTCGGGCATCCCGACGAGTTCCAGAACACCACCACCGTGCGGGTTCCAGCTTTCTAGAATCTCTGACATTTGAAACTAAAGAACTTTCACAAATTTCAAATTGCACCCCAGGCTGTCACCTTCTTCCTTGGAGAGGGGGACGTGGGTGCTGTTCCCGTATCCCTGAGTGCTGGCCCTGCTATGCCCGGGAACCTGGCAACCCACCCCAAGTGCAGCTTGCGCTTTGAAAGAGGGACACAGGAGGGGCAGGCCCTCTGACCACTGCCCGTTTCTGGTTCTGCCTTCCCAGGGCAGACACCATGCCTGCTGCTGTCCCCACCTTACCCCTGTGCGCCTGACCTGGCCCCCCACGGCAGCTGCGGGAGCGAGTTGGTTGGCCACTGGGCATCTGCTAGCAGGCTGGGCATGAGAAGCCACAGGGCTTGGGTCTCCTGGGAGCAGCTGGAGCTACTGGAAGACAGAAAGGTGGGCAAAGGGGTCAGAGAATCCCCTGAAAGACAGGAGAGAGGCACAGTGAGGTCTGGGTTGTGGTCTGCGGGGCGGCGCTTTTTAAAATCTTTTTCTTTCTTTCTTTCTTTCTTTGAAAAGAAAAAGCCCCCATCCTGTGTCATCATTTTTATGGGATCTGCAATTCTGGCAAAAATCTGTCTTTAATTTAGCTGTCCATATAAAAATCCTCACTGTATAATAATGAACAGATGCCATGGAATTTAAGCTGGAGCCTGGGCTCCTCCCCGCCTTCCCCCCGCGCCTGGCACCGGGCACCGGGCACCGGCTGAGTGGCACAGACTGGCACCAACGCGCTAGCAAAGGGTGGGCAGGGGGCGACCTGGGCTGAGCGCCAGGGCGCCGGGGTGGTGAAGGGGCGTCGGGGCTCCGGGCTTGGCCAGGAGGGAGCCTTTTCGTGGCGGCACCGGGGGAGAAACGTCTGAGGGATTTTTCTGTCTTTTTCTACAAAATGATCAGTAGTTAAGGATTTTGGTTTGGTTGATTAGGGGCTTTATGGTTCTGATATATTTTTTTTAAAGCACCGCCCTCCCCTTCATATAAACCCAAATGTTTTCGATATTTTAATTGAGTTGTTTTTAACCCTCCCCCTGCGCCGCGCGCCGGCCTCGGTCTCGGAGCCCAGCCGAGAGTTCGCAGCAAGCGGGATCCGGTCTGCGCCCGGCCGGTCCGCAGCCTTCGCGGCGTTCCCGGCGCCGGCGCCTCCCGAGGCTCCCCGGCGGCGCGTGCGGGGCACGAGCCCCCTGCTGCCCTCCGGAGCGAGGCCTGACGTGGCCTCTGACTGGAGAGAGCGGACGACTGAAGGAGAGAGAGACATAAAGCCCCACCTGCCCCCACCCTGATTCTCTCGCTGTTCCCCAGGGAGAAGGAAAAACGATTCGAGTCCGCTGTCCCCTCCTGCCTCCGCCTGCGGTCGAGAAAGCAGGCATCGGCTCGGGCTTGAGGGGTTGGTTTGGAGCCCCCGCCCCCACCCCTCGCCTTTAATGCGACTCTGGCGAGAACAGATGTCCCAAGCCGGGCGCACTGCCCAGACCCCGCCCAGCTGTGCCCTTGGCGAAGACTTGGCTGAGGGTAGGAACTGGCACGCGGGTCCCCAAAGGGACTTGGGGGCTCCCGAGTTTCCGGCGGGACCTGACCTCGCTGCCTTGGCCTCCTGGCCAGCGCAGCCTCTAGCGGGAGCAGGGAAAGCCCTGGAAAGACCCGTTCCTAATTCAATTAATTCCAGAAAGGAATGAGACCCAGACAGAAACTGAGAGGCAGAGAGAGAGAGAGGGTTGAACAACCAAATACCAGGCTCGCACCTTGGGTGTGGAACTCACTGCCCGAGACCGCCGCAATCCGATGCTGGACCAGGCAAGAGAACTGGCAACACCAGAACCATACTCAGGCGCACACCCAGTGTCGGCCGCAGCTGCCGCCCACGTGGCTGGTGCCCTGGGGTTCCTTTGCCCGACTCCTCCCCACACCAAAGGGCTAAGGAAACCCCATCACTGGCATCTCCCCTGGGAACCCCCCATCGCCCTTGGCAGGTGAGCCCAGCCCCACCCGCCCACACTCCCAGGGCAGGTTCTTTAGGATGGAGAAAGTTTCCCAAGGGGTGGGGATAGGGTGGGGGTGCAGGTGTTCTTACCCCTTCTCTCCCAAGTAGAAACTTTGTTGAAAATTGTTGAAGATGAGGGACAGGAAGGCAGGAGCTGCTTCAGGATTTGGAACCAGGACAGGGTTGCAGGGTTTCTCCAGGGCCAGGTGTCACCTTTGCTCTGGGTTTGTGGCCAGCACCTGGGTGCCCTAGCCCTGAGGAAGGAAGGGAGAGTGGCAGAGCCTTGGGGTGCGAGCTGGGAAGCCTGGGACCACAGAGGTCTGTCTGCCCCCTCCCACTTCCCGCACAAGGCAGCTTTCTCCTTCCGGCACTTCGGAGCAGGTGGCGGTGGGGTCCCGGCTGCCCCTCCAGTGTCAGGTGGGAGTGCGGTGCAGGCCGCCGAGCTCTGCCCATGCTACCTCATCTTCCTCTGGGACTGGGACGAAGGAGTGGAATCCAGAACCACGCTTTTGTCTGATTGCCCACCCCCCAGCCAGCAGAGCCCCCCCAGGAGCCAGTGACTCTCTGTGAAAGGGTCTGGGGAAGAGAAGGGAGCAGGACTGTGCAGGGAGGGACGAGTTCTCTGACCTCCGTCGGAAAGCTTTGCGGCCCCTGCCTGCCGGCTTCCCCGGGGAAGGAAGGGGTGCAGGGGCAGAAACAACTCCAAAGAGTCCCGGGTGCCAGGGCTTTCCTGCTGCTGACCCTTGAGGGGCTCCGTTTCCCCCCAGCTGCTTATTGGGTTGTCCTCCTGGGTGACAAAATCCGAGCTAGCTTTTCAGGAGGGGTCGGTACTCAGCGTTCACGCTCCAGGTCAGGGCTGGAACGAGTGGAAGGGCCAGGGGAGAGGCAGCAGTGGCTCTCCCTCCCTTCCCCACCAGATAGACAACTGGCCCAGATGCAGGGATAACTCTGTTTCTCTGATATTCTCCAAACGCTGGACTTGGGATGCAAGCCCGAAAATCAAAGGGAAAACGCTCTCCTGATTGAACCCAGTCCCAGCCGTCGGGCTGAGCACAGCGGCTGGTGCGCGCTTGGAGATCCCGCTGCTCAGACGGGGCACCAGGGGGTCTCCGTGGCGCCTTCTGCCTCTGGCCCCCAGCACCACCTCGCTGGCCCCTTCTGCCGCCCCCTCCTTCTGCTGCTAAGCTCCTCTGGGTGTGTGTGCGCGCGCAAGCGGGAGAAGGAGCGAGAGAAAGAGACCTGGGAGGGGGCGTTTGGGGCCGCGTGTCCGTGCACATCTTCTTCTCCTGCTCATCTTGCCATCTCGCCAGGGAAGTCGAGTGTTGGGGAGGGCGATGGGAGGCTAGAGGGCAGCCAGAGTGCAGGCAGCGAGGAGAAAGGAACGGGCGGCTCGTGTGAGTTCCAGGATTTGCCAGCAGCAGAGGTGTTCTCGGGATCCCCGCCCTAAAAGGGGCCAGGACACCCCCAACCCAACGCAGCCACAGATGCAGTGGCCCAAGTGTCATCAGCATCCTTCGAAAGGAGTGGGTATCGAGCTTCAAAGACGGAACAGAGTGGCACAGAGTGGCCTGAGAAGGGGTGTGTCTGCCTGTTTGGCCAGGGGAGCCACGAGGAGCGGAGGAATCATTTGCTTTGGGCCCCAAGCCACCTGGATCCCACCCAGCGCTGCCCAGTCCGGAACTTCAGAGCGGGCTCTGGGAAACTGGCTGAGTTGGGGGAAAGCCCGATTGCCCTTGTTCCCAGGGCAGGATAAGAACCAGGCCTTTTCTCTCCTGTTGCTTCTGCAGGCCACGCCGGAGGCAGACTGGCCTTCCTAAACTTTGAGTCTGGGATGGGATGCAGGGTTTGCTGCATACTCCTTGAAAAAAGTGGGGGAGCAGACGGGCCAACTCCTTTCTCCCCAAAGTAGGTGTGATTCAGAAGTTGGTAAGGGACAGGAACCGATCTTAGGGATCGGACCCAGAGCCCAGTCTGTGAGGGAGCTCACTCTAGAGATGCAGTCCCAAGAGAATCCCAGGGAAGACGGTGAAATTTTGAAAGAATTCCAGCAAAATCTTCAGAAACCGCCGGAGAATCCCGGTAGGGCCTTGGGAAGGATCTCAGCCTGGGGTACTGTGCTCTCCAGGCCGGGAGGGTGGAGGTAGGGGCTCCCTGCAGAGGAGAGCCAGCTCCTGGGGTGCCCTGTCCCGCCCCCAGTCCTCCAGGAGACCTCTGCTGGCTATCTCTCGGCTGCTGGGTATCATCCAGTCCACCTCCTTCTCCAGCTGCCTTTGACGTCCCTGCTTTTGTCAGGGTGATCTCATGTTGACCAAACCTTTAAAAGCCTCAGTTGCCAACCCCAACACTACAGCCCCCATTTCAACCCAGGGTTTCCAGGAAAATGACTTTTGTAGGAGTGTCAGAAGTAGCCTCTCCGCGGGATTCCTAGGCGTGTTTAGGCTTTAGGATGGAGACCCCTGGGACTCGGACCCCTCTCCAAATATTCCAAGACTGCCAGGGGCACTGGAGTCTGGGGGAGGGGAGGTGGAGGGAGCCTTTCGGGGATGTCGGTGAAGAGGAAGAAGACCACCTCTCGGAGCAGGCCAGACCTGTGCCTCCCCACGCCTCTGTGTCCCAGCCTTCGCCAGGCAGAAAGGGGGCTGTCCAGTGTGGATTCAGGGAGTGTCCCAGGTCAGAGTGAGCTCCGAAAGCTGGCTGGGCACACAGCCGCCTCCCAGACCCCAGCGCCACCCCGGCAGACACCCGCATCCCACACTCCGAGCCTCCCCACCGGCCCATTCCCCTGAGTCCACGGGGTTTCCCCTGCTCGCACTTCAGCTTCATGACCCTATCGTTAGTATTTTGTTAAATTAAAAACTATATATCCCCGTCTGGCTCAAACGCTTGTCTCCCCATCTCTTGCCCTCTGCTTTTTGTAACAGGGGGCAGAGGGCTAGAACATGACCGGCTGGTCCCACCGTGACCGCTTTCCAGCGAGGGAAGGATATTGTTTTCAAGGAAGGTGCATGTGCAGGCTGGCAGACCATGGCTTTGTGCTGGGGCTCTGTGAGTCTGGGGTTGGCGTGGGAGGGGCAGGGAGTGTGGCTGTTCTGTGCCCACTGGGTGTGTGTGAGGGTCTGTAGACTAGGAGCCTGGTGCCAGCCAGCAATGTCCAGAACCCTTCTCTCTGGCTTCTGCACAGTCGCTTGCCACTCTGCCTCGGTCACTCTAGCCCTAGCTCCTTCCCCCACCCCGCCCTACCCACCCCTATTAAGGAGGCCACCGTGAGAAATCGGTCCATCTTTGCATCTCATTTACATAAATATTTATTAATCGTCATTAAACTGAACAGAAACACGCAATGCACTTCGGGTGTCCGCCGGGAGTTCATCTTCGCTACAAGAGGAAGGTAAAATTATGTGTAGGTGTGTGGGTGTGTGGGTGAGTGTGTGGGGGTGTGGGTGTGTGTGTGAGTGTCACCTGCGGGTTTGCATTTTTGCATCGTGTGCTTGAACGCCTGGGCCCCTGCCTCTGACAGCAAGAAGTTCACCTTTTGCTCCTTTGGGGAGAGACCTCCCAGAAGGAGCCCTCAGCTCTCCCTGTCCACCTGCCAGGCAATTGCCGGGAGGACACCCCGGACAAAATAAACCTTCTCCAGCCACTGGGAACCGCTGGGCACCTGGTGCCCACCGAGGCACCCGTCTGCGCAGGGATGGGAGCGCCCCCTCCTCACCTCACTCCTGGGGGAGGGGAAGGAAGTGCCCGCGGGGTAGGGGGCAGTGAGCTCACCTCCTTGAGTCCCCCCGGACGCCGGCGCCAGGCCTGCACGTGCCTGCGGTGAAGTGCGTGCGGTGTGCGTGCGGTGTGGTGTGTGTGTGTGTGTGCGTGTGTGTCTCTCATGCAAACCCTCCCTCCCCAAACCGACCCCCCAACAGTTTGCCATTCCATACAAATTTGGAAACAGGTTTTTAAAAAACAGCATGACGCACAACGGGGACGGGGCGGGGGAGGGCAGTGGCACTGGGGCCCCAAATCTCCGAGTCACTGATTGTAAGAACCTGGGGAGGGGAGGGGGCGGCGCGGGCCCCCACTTCACCAAAGTGCACAGACCCGCGCTGGGGCGGGGCGGTCGGCAGCCGGGAGGGGCACCCCGGGCGGGCGGACCGCTAGGCTCAGTCAGAACCTCCTTGCATAGATATTTGTGTCTTTTTATTATTGGTAGTATTTTTTTTTTTTTTTGCCATTTATTGCTTCTAAAAGTTCTTACTGCGTTTTCTCTCCGATCCGGACTCTGCGTTCGGCCTCCGTCGCCTCTTAGCTTTTTTGTTTTGTTTTGTTTTTTTTCTATGTTTGTTTAAAAAAAATGAAAAGGGAAAAATGGTTTCTAGTTACAAACTGTCTCGGCCTCTCTCTTTCCTCTCAATGCACGTCCCCTCCCGCCAAAATTAAAATCGCAAAAAGCGGAGATTCGGGGTTGGGGGTGAAGGCGGTCCAGGCCCGGGCTCGGGCGCCCTAACTTCTGGCCTCTTCAAGAAAGAGGGGACGCCCGGCTGCTGTCTGCCTCGGCAGGTCGGCGTCTGTTTTTACAACAATAAATCGGGAGAGGGGAAAACCGCATCCCACAGCTCGGCTGTCGCCTTACCAACGCCTTCGGGCCTGCAGGGAGGAGAGGGCGCAGGACACCCAAACTGAGGAGTTGGGGTGGGCGCACGTGGTCCCTAGGAAGCCCCCGGAGCGAGGTCCCTGGAGAAGTACTTCCTGGGAGAGAGGAGGAGGGAACCCCTTGGGGGAGAGAGGAGGCGAGGCCCCTGGGGGAAGCGAGGCCCCTGGGACGGGCCACCCACATGGAAGAGGTCCGCGCCGCTCCGGAGAGGGCCCGCTCCCCGCGCCCGGCGCCGGGGAAGGTGGGGACGCCCCTGCCCTCGCGGGCAAAGGCCAAAGAAAAAGAAGGGGGGCCGGCGCGAGGTCTCAGTTATGGAAAAACGCATTGAGCTCCTCGTACATGGGGCCCCGGTCGTGGTGAAGGTGCATATCGTAAGACAAGAGATTCTCGGAGTGGACGCCCCCGCGCACAGCCGACGAGCCGAAGACCAGCCCGTGGCCCGCGGGCCGCGAGCCGGGCAGCGCCGAGTAGTGCATAGAGTAGTGGTAGCTCTTCTCGTGGTCGGGCGACGAGTCCTGCTTGAGCGAGAAGTTGCCATTGAGGCAGAGCGGGGGGCTGAGCGGGCCCTCGTACTCGGAGCTGTTGTAGTCCGGGCTCGCGCCGCCGCCGCCCGCCGCCGCGTACAGCGTCTCGTAGGCGGCGCAGTAGCCGTGGGTCCGCAGGGCGTGCGCCGCGCCGCCGCCCAGGCCGCCGGCCGCCTGGCACTGTGCGCCCGCCAAGCGCGAGCACGGGTACGGGTAGGGGTGCATGGCGAACGGGCCGCCGGAGCCGTGGAAGCGGCCCGCGCCGTCGGCGCCCTGCTCCGTGAGGAAGTTGCGCGAGTTGAGCTGCAGGCAGCCGGCCACCAGGTTGGTGGTGGGCTGTGACAGACCCTTGCACAGCGTCTGCACGTAGGACACCAGGTCCGGCCGCTTGCCGGAGCGCAGGATCTCCGAGAGCGCCCAGATGTAGTTCTTGGCGAGGCGCAGCGTCTCGATCTTGGACAGCTTCTGCGTCTTGGAGTAGCAGGGCACCACCTTGCGCAGGTTGTCCAGCGCGGCGTTCAGGTCGTGCATGCGGTTGCGCTCCCGCGCGTTCGCCTTCTGCCGCCGCAGCTTGGAGCGCTCCAGGCGCGCCTTGGTCATCTTGCGCTTCTTGGGCCCGCGCTTCTTGGGCCGCTCGCCCTCCGCCTCGTCCAGCCCTTCCTCCTCCTCCTCTTCCTCCTCCTCCTCGCCCCCCAGCTCGCCTTCCTCCTTGACCTCTGCTAGCGTGGCCTCCGACACCTCTTCTCCGCGGAGGGCGACTGGCTTGGCGGCCCGGGCGGGCCCCGGAGCCCCCGGCCCGGGCGCAGGAGGAGGTGGCGGCGGCGCGTCGCCCTTGTCGCTCCTCGGCTCGTCGTCGTCGCCGTCGCCCCAGCTGGCGAACTTGGGCACGTCCGAGAGGAGGCCGGGCTCGCTGAACAGGCGGGTCAGCATGGTGCCTGAGGGCGCCCCGCGGGCAGGCGGGCAGGAAGGGGAGACAGACAGCACAGAGTGAGGGGCGCGCTGGGGTCACGGCGCCCGCCACCCGCCGCCACCCCCACGCCCAAGTCTCGTGCGGACGCCTGCCCGGGGAGGGGGGGGGGGGTCCCGGGATGCCCACCTCCTCCGCCTGCCCCGCCCAGAGCCGGCCCAGCCCTGCCCCGCCGCCCGCCGCCGGGGATCTCGGCCCAGGCCCTCTCGCCGGCTCTGGGCCCCAGCTCCGCCCCTCGCTTGAATGGGGGGCCAGCTCTTCCTCTGGGTCAGGGCGGGAACCGAGCGGGGGGCTTCAGGGACCGGATAGCTTCGCCAGGGGAGGCGGCGCGCTCGCCCCGAAAGCCTCTTGCCTGCTCGCGGCGGAGAGAGGCTGGGCGGCCGCGGGTGCGGACAGCTGCCCGGTTCCGCGGCTCTCGCGGCCCGGGGGGCCCCCTGGCCGGGCTCCCCCACCCCTCCCGTGGCTCTCACCCCCACGCTCCCTAATCCAATTTGCAACTTGGCCGCGCGCCGCCCCCGGCTCGGCCCCCACCCCCGCAGCCCCAGTTCCAGAGGCGGGAGGATCGACTCCTGCAGCCGGTGAGTCCCCAGCTCGCGGAGCCCGCTCTGGGTGGCGAGGACTGTAACACCGGGCGTGGGGAGGAGACAGAGAAGCGAGCCCCGTCCGTCTCCCCTGCGGTCGGGGACCCCCTTCCCCCCTGCAAACTGCCTCCCTCCCACACGGCTCTTCAGATCTCGTTGTATTTCGGGATTGATGGGAGGGGGGGGAGAATCCAAATTTGTTTGTTTGCTTCTCTTTCTTTGGTGGTGGGAAAGGTCGCAGGTTCCTTCGGGACAACCATGGCGGGGGTCCCCATTTCGGCCTCTTCGCGCCCCCACCCCGTGATTCTGCCTCCCCTCACCCCAGCCCATCGCAGGCAGACACCTCCCTCCGTGGCCCCCTGAGCTGCAGCCCCTAGGGGAGCGCGAACCCGGGGTGCCTCGGATGCCCACCCAGTGCGGGAGGGACGGTCCTGGGAAGGGGGGATCTGGGGACTCTCCCGTCGGCCGAAGCGGCCGCCCCCTCCCAGTCGGCGGGTCGGATGCAGCCCCCTTTCGGACAACTTACCTCGGAGAGGAGTCAAGGGGAGAGGGGAGGGGAGGGGGGAGGGGGCGAGAGAGAGGGGGGAGAAGAGGGCTCTTCTCGCTTATTTCATTGTTCCCCCATCTTCAGGGAGCGGGGGCAGCGGCTCCTCAAGGCGGCGGGCGCCGGCGTCTTCAGAGCGCCATGCGAACCGCGGAGCGAGTGTGGCATCTCTACCAGGCGGGGTACCAGCCTCTATGCCAGGCCATATGGGCTTGGCACGTCACGGGCAGCAGCTATCACATGAGAGACGGTGATTGGCATGCGTCTGCATTGGGGGAGAGCCGGCTCCCCCGGGACCCGCCGCCATCTGTCACTCTCTACTCCAAAAAAAAAAAAAAATTAAATAAATAAAGGAAATAAATAAATATCTCCGCCGCCCTCCCCTCCCCGCCCAACGCAGGGAAAGCAGGGATTGAGAGGGAGGTGGGAGGAGTTGCCCCCCCCTTGGATAAAGAGCCCCCCCATCTGGGGACAATGGGGTGGCAAGGCTGGGAACTGGGGGCTTGGGGTAACCACCAATTCTGTGGCTCCTCTGGGGTCCTGCTCTGTCCATTTCCTTCTCTGCGGGCCTCCAAGGAGGGTCAGGGAGCAGACCCTGGGTGGGAAGAAGGGGCTTCTCTGCTTGCCCTCTCTCCCCTGGAGGGTCCCCTCCACCACAAAGGGACAGCTGAGGCCCCCTCCTGGGGTGGGCGTAGGGGGCGTCCCTGGCCCAAGCCCCATAGGTAGATGTTGGCACCCTGCCATCCCTCATCCCTGTCTGCCCCTCCCCCACCCACCCGCACGCACACACAACATATGTGGCTGAACGAAATTCAAACCAAGGCGAAGAGAGAGAAAGGGGAAGATTTGCCTGGTGTCTGTGCCTCTGCATGGGCGTGTGTGTGTCTGTGGGGACATGTGTGTGTTTCTGTAGAGTCAGCGCCGGGAGAGAGCGCGGTGGATGTGGGGGCATGTGTGTGCTGGGGTGCGGGGGGGTGGGGGAGGGCAGGACCCCTGAGATAAGCCCTGTGCCCACCCCTCCAGGGGCAGAGGAGAGGGTCTGGTCTGGACTCCTAACCCAGAAACCTCTCGCTCCCTCTCCTCCCCCATCTACTTCCCCTGGCAGACAGGCAACCATCCCACCAGCCGTGCTCCCCTGGCCTTGCACTTGGAGGAGGAGGGGCTGCGCTGGGAGCTGTCTAGAGTTCCTGGATGAGACACAAGCACCCGCCTCGCCCTGCAAAGCACACAGAAACCACCGTGGCCACCGGGGCAGGCAGGTCAGACAGGTGTCTTGAGAAGGAAGGCGGGAGATCACCTTTTGCCCTTTCTCTGGGTCACACCGAGCTGCCAGTGGCACAGGCTGAGGCAGGTAGCAGCACACACGCCCCCACACGCACCTGTTCCTCGCCCTGAGGTGCGGGAAATGGACACACACCCCTGCTCGGACACACACGTGCCTGGGGGCAGGTAGTCACAGCCAGGCGTAGGGAGACCCTTGCCCGCACCCGGCTCAGGCATTTGTGTGTCTCAGACCCACACCACCTGCCCGCCCTCCGCACCCTCCACCTGCAGGTGCACACCCAACTTCAGCTCCACGTTGGGCACACACACGTGGCCGGTGTCAGGAGCGTGCCAAGCTGAGCGAGAGGAAGGCTTCTCCCTCAGGCTGGGTGGGCACGGGCCTCGCCCTCTGCAGCTTCTGAAGGGACACTGGGCTGTGAGACGCTGATGGACGCCACCAAGGCTGCGTTGGTTGTAACTGGAGACAGGTGATGAGCAGGGAGGCCTGTCTGGGGTGCTCAGAGGCACCCAGGAGCTGCAAGCGCCTTGGAATGCACCCTCCCAACGCCTCACTCTCCAGAGGCTGTGGTGGGAAACGGACTGCCCTGGGCACACGGGGGTGGAGTGGGCCTAGCACCCAGGCACTGGACTCCCAGCCCAGTGCTCCCCCAACAACCCCCAAACCTGCCTCCGCGCTCTCTGAGGCTGAGAAGCTGCCGGTGAGGATCTACTTCCGAGGCCTGGGCAGGTGAGCCCCAGAATCTGGGTGCCTCTGAGCACCGCAGAGGAAAAGGTCAAAGGGCGGGCAGCAGGGAGGGGCGGAGACTCCCAAGTGCTACCCAGGATCCCTGGAAGCTCAGACACAGTCTCCAAGGGTTCTGTGTCCCTTTGTGAGGCTCCCCGGGCCTCACAGCAGCTCCAGGCTCCTGACTTCCGTGTTCTGGGCACGTGCTCTGGGCTGCTGATTCCTGGCTGACCCCGTTCACCAACTTTTTAAAGATGACAAATGCCTCAAGCAGGTAACAGAATCTCTCAGTCTTGATTTCTCCACCTGTAAAATGGGTCTAATGCTGCTATACCCTCACAGAGCTGTTGCTAGTCCTGAGATTCTACAAGTAGCAAGCTTAGTGCAGGGCCAGCACTCAGTGTGGCCAGCCCTCCACACACACCCACCCTTTCGTTATTAGCACACTCTGCCAATGGTTACCTGCCTCCCACCAGGCACTCTGGCAGTAATACCCCCCCAACACACACACACACACACACACACACACTCCAAATGCTTTGTCTGGATGGGAGCTGAATTGCTGTTGAATTCATGGGTGAGTGAATGGCTGGGTAGGATGCTCCCTAGGGGGAGAAAGACCCCCTGCAGTCTCTCTTGGACACTGGTTGGGTTAAGCCCACCCAGGGGCTTGCAGTCTCCTCCAGGCGAGAGGCAGAACCTTGCTCAGGACAGAGAGCCCAGGGGAGGCCATCCCAGCCCTCCTGCCTCCTTGCTGCGGCCTGCGAAGCGGCTCTGTGGTCGCTCAAGGAAGGAGGCCCCTGGGCAGGGGGGGAGGGGGGTCGCACCTGGGGGACGTCATCCCTCCGGCCTGCTCCCTGCTCCTGTCTTCTTTTCCTTCAGAAAAATGGAACAAGTTTTTCTCACTCGACACATTTCAACTTTTTTTTTAGAAGATATAATAAAAACCAGGGGGAAATTGGAACAGAGGGAGGTGTGGGATGGGCCTGCTCCAGACATGGGCTTGCAAGAGGCACAACACGTGTGTCCACATACACACAGCAGGCATGCACACGCAGGGCCACGCGCGCCCCTCCCCGCACACCCAGAGAGGCAGAGATGCCGTGACGGAGAGACAGAAAGAGCCAGAAATGGGAGGAAGGAGACGGAGAAGGACACCCAGAGATGCCATCTGTTCCTCCCCCTGGCACTGGGGGAAGGGAGTTGGTGTGGGGCCTGGTCCCATCCGGGTCTCCGAGAGGGAGAGGGGCGCGGTGGGCGCCTCTGCGGGCCTGGCAGACCCCGTCCGAGCCGTGCACGGCTTCTGAGGGAGCAGGGAGCCTCGGGTGGGGGGGCTGAGGTTCCCATGGAGACACAGCCCCGTCCCAAGGGAGGCCACTGTCTGGGCACCTAAAATGGCTGCCTCAGAGGGATGGCAGCCATTTTGTTCAGGCTCAGGTCCTGGGGGGCAGGGGGGATGCTGGGGGCTGAGCCGGTGGACAAGATGGGGAGGGCACAGGTCATTCCTGAGCAGCAGAGGGGAGTCTCGCTCAGGGGACGCAGAATGGTCTAGAAAGCTCCTCTTAGGGTGCCCCGCCTCACCAGAATCTGCACCTGCTCCGCCCCACCTGACACCCAGGGGTCCTGGGGCAGCCCCCCTCCCCCATAAAATGGCCAGGGCCAGGGCTCTGAGGGACGCCTGACTCCCGCCGAGCACCAGGCCGTGGGGAACAGGTGGGTCAGACGCAGGTGTCGCCCCCGGGCGCCGCTGGGCATGCGCCTCCTGGGACCTCCTCGGGCCAGCTGGGCAGGCAGGTGAGGAGCCGGCGAGGGCAGGAGTGCGGTGAGGAGGGGCCCTGCTGTCCCCCTTCCTCGGCACACGGGGGGGGGGGGAAGGGCAGGGGTTTGGAGACCCTGGAAGGGCCTGTGCTGCCGGCACTGGCTGTGCTGGGGGGGAGGGGAGGGGCGGCTGGCACTGCCCAGACGGCGCCAGCTCCAGCAGCGCCTGCGGCTCGAAGCTCCCACCCGAAGCCCAGGAGCACCTGCTGCCCCCTTCCACAGCCCCCTGCCCCACCTCAAGTGCAAAGGACGTGGGGGAAGGGGGACCTGCAGCTCCTTCCTGGCTCTGGGTGGGCACCTGCCCCGCTGCCCCCTCCCCCGCCGCCGCAGTGTGCCGGGGAGCGGCGGGCATGCCAGATGGCGTGGCTGAGAATGCGGCGACGTTGCCGGGAGGTGAGGGCTGGCACGGGTGAGATGCGGCTGCGTGCCTTGTGGTGCCACGGGGGAGGGGCAGCCAGGGCCAGGGAGGTGTGTCCCCCTCCATGGGCTGCCCTGTGTTGACCTCTGCCTCTCCCAGGGCTTCTGCTCTGGGCCTGGACCCCACCTGGCCATGGGTGGGCCAGACATGAGCTGAGCCCAGGGTCAGACCATGGCCGTGTTCTTGTCCCCTCCACCCCGAGCCTGGGACAAAGGACCTCCTGAGGGCACGAGCCCTCCTGAAAGCCAGCCCTCAGGATTCCTCCCTTGCTCCAGAAGTGGAGTGACCTTTGCCCCAGTAACCCTGGACTTTCGGCCTCTGAGGTCTGATTTTCTGAGAAAAGCTCCTTTGCTGATGGGCATTGGTCTTGAGTCTCCCACTGGTCAAACCCATCCTGTCTCCCCACCAGATGCTTCCTGGACACCTCCTCTTGGGAGCCGCCCCTGATTGCCCCAGGCAGGGCAGCTTCCTGCCCCGGGTCAGGAAGACACGCTCCCCCACCTGTGATGGCTGCTTGCTTTGTGTGTCCTTGGTCCCCTGCTCCGCAAACGCTGGTTGCATGAATGCCTGCCTGGAGTAGGGGGCGGGGGTACTGGAACACCCTCCGGGAGTCTCCTAGAGTGGTTAAGGCCAAGGTCCTGGCCAGGCCCAGAGCTCCCAGGCCCCTCCCCTCCCCTCCTCCACTTTCAGCCTGGGAAGGTGGACTTGAGATGAGGGTCCCTGAGTGATCCTAGGAGAGAGGGCTAGGGGCTTGGAGGCTGAGCCCGAGCCCGGGCACCCGCCCCTGGGCCTGAGGCCACAGGAGGCCCCACTGTAGATTCCTGGCTTCAGGCAGACTCAGAACTCCTCACCCTCCGCCCACTCCTGCCCCCGCATGGAGTGACCCCGCCCCTCACCCCTGCAAGCAGCTGTGAGGTCCAGGGCACTGCTGGGTCCTGCTCCCTGCCTTCCTCCCCTGGCTGGCGCTGCACCTCAGTGTCTCAGAACCCTTTTGTCCTGCAGGCCTGGCCCAAGCCCTCTTCCTCCGGGAAGTTGGCCCTGACCTCCCAAAGACCCTCGCTCCTCTGGCTTCATCCCAGGACCAGGCTTCCCATCGCCCATCTCTCTGATGTGCAAATCTGAACATGTGATGCGCCTGCTCCGGAGCCGTCAGTGGCTCCCCAGCGCCCCCTAGGGTCAGATGCGGCTCTGCAGGGACACGCCCAGCGCTCCCTCCACACGGTACCTTTGCTCAGACCGCACCTCTGCCTGGGGGCCCCCTTCCCTCCCTCACCCTGGACGCCAGATCATTATCTTCCTGATTCTCTGCTCAGGATCTGAGACAGCATCCCCAGGACAGAGCTGTGGCACAAAGGCCCACTTGGCCTCCGCGCTCCCCTAGAACCTGGGGCTTGCAGCCAGGGCGGGGCACCTGCCCTGGGACCCTCCCCTCCTTCCTCCTCAGCCCCCCCCCCCCCCGCCAAGCCCGGCACTCACATAGAGCGTCAGCCTTCCCCTCTGTAAAATGGACACGATCATTCCAAGACTATCCTAAGTCTCCAGCCGGGTGCCAGAGGGGCGCCGCAGCCCCCAGCCCGGTCCAGATGGGCCCCCTTTGCCTCCAGCCCTTGTACCACTGGGACTGTTTGTCAGTGTTTTACTCCTGGAGCTCCCTTCATTACTGTATCTTTGTTCTGCTTCTCTTGTCTGCTTGCCACCTGAGCAGTTGGTGGCTGTCTCCTCTGCCCTTCCCCCTGTCCCACTGCTAGGGTCCAGCCAGGAGGGAGTCAAGCGAACAGGGAGCTCCAGGTGGCCTCAGAGCACAGGCCTTCGCAGTGCCTTGACCTTGGTCAATCCTGTAATCCTCTACTTTCTCATCTGTGAAATGGGAACAGCGCCGCCTGTCCACCTGTGCCTCAGCACGGATGCGAGGACCACGGGGAGAGCAGGTTATGACGTGTATCCTTGGGGTGCTTGCGCGCTGGCTCCTCCTGGGGCCGCTCAGGACAGCGGGAAGGTTACCAGGTGCAGGCTGGGCTCTCTCTCCTCTGGCCAGGCTTGGCTGCCAGTTTCCCCGGGAACCTGGAAATGTCTGTTTCTTTCCCTGGAAATCAGAGCCAGAAGAGTCCCGGAGCTTGCCACTGGGTGATTCTCTGATGTGTGCCTTCAGGCTGGCACAGGTGCAGGGGACACCCGGGGCAGTGGGTGCACCACAGCAGTGCCGCCCCTCACAGGACAGCTCCACAGGGCCACTGGGCAGGGTGCGTGCGGAGGCCACTGGCCAGGGGATGCGGTCACACTTTAACCAACCCAGGACTCTTGGCTCAATCCAGGACGGTGGATATGAGCCACTGCCCGGCGCCTTTCGCTGCCCTGGGAGGCCAGGCGGGGCTGGGCAAGGCCTGCTTGGTCTCAGCGGGGAGGGAGATCCCCCAGGGGGCAGGGAGACAGTCAGGGATAGGAGCCCATGTTGGGATGAAGTCATCACAGCTCAGACAGGGGAGTGCCCTGCTTGGTGTCGCCCACGTGACTGGCAGGTCTGGGACTAGAAACCAGGATTCCCATGTTGGGGGCCTCCTGTCCCCAGGCCTCAGCTCCTTGCAAGAAGACAGCAGTTTAAGATCCTGGATCTGCACAGAGCTGTGACCCCTGAGTCCTGCTCTTAGTCACGCCCCCTCCCCCAGCCCTGTGATCTTGGGTGCAGGTTCTGCCCTCTGTCCAGGCCTCAGTGTGGCAGCTCGGGCTGGGGGGTGGGGGATCACAGGAATCGGGACTTTCCTCCAGCCTTCTGGGTCAGACGTTGCCTCCCAGGCCCTTGCAGGCTCAAAGAGGCGCTTCCTCCACCAGGAAGGCGTCACGGATGTCCCCTGGGAAAAGGCCACTCTCCTCCTCGGGCCTTTAGCACCTCCTGCACTTGGAGGACCATGGACCAGCGCCCCCGAAGCCCAGCGTGACCACGTGCTCACTTGCTGCGTGCAAGTGATCAGCACCCTGCTGATCTGAGTAATGGGCCCGGGGCGCCCCGCCACCCAGAACCTCCGCGGGCAGCGTCCCGGGAGGCAGCGCCTGACACCCGGCGGGCCCCTGCCGCTCGCCCCTTCTCCTCCTGCCGCTCCCCTCGGCACCCAGCCCCGTGCCTGGCTGGGCGCCCGGCGCGCCCCGGCAGCCCCTTGCCGGCTCGATGCCCTGACTCCCCGCGCGCAGGGCCCGCTCGGCACGTGGCTCTCTCGCCCCCGTCCGGGGCGGCCTCGGCGCGCGCGGGGAGCCAGGCTGGGGCGCGGGGCGCGCGGGCGCGGGGCGGGTTGGGGAGGCGGGGGCGGAGCGGCGGCGGCGCGAGGACGCTGCCCCTTTAAGGTGCCACCGCCGCGTGGCAGGGAAACAGCTTGTGCCAGCCCCATTCCGCCGGGCTCCGCTCGCAACAAGAAACACAATGCATAACAATCAGGCGCGCGCTTGGAGCCGTGCCACGCGCCGCGGGCGGGGCGGGGCCGCGGTCCCGGCCGGGCGGGGCGGGGCGGGGGCGCCGGGGTCGCGACCCCAGCCTCGCGTCTGCTAGTGGCAGGGGGCCGGGGTCGCGCGCTCCCCCGTCGCGGCCGCCGTGCGCCCCGGCCCTTCGCCCCGGCGCCCCCAACTCGCCCCCCGCTCGCCCCCGCTCCCTACAAAGTTCATTCCCACTAACTCTTTTCCAGGCCACTTCCCCCTCACATCTGACAATCCGGGGCCCCTCATTCTCCCAGTAATCACTCCACTGCACTAATTGCACATGCAAATATGCAAATGCGTATTAATTAATTACTATACTAATTAGTTCTGTGGTATTTGCGAGTAATAAATCATTGGATGGGAGCGAGGAAGCTGGAGACCTGGCCCATTTTCATTCTGCATAAAATTTTAATGGTCTCTCTGGCTGATCCGGGACGGCAGCGCGCGGAGAGGCTCTTAAAGGGCCAGTGGCGGCGGGCAGGGGCCGGGGCGGCGAGCTCGGAGCGGCCCTGGCGGGGACCCGCGCCCCGGGCGGACTTGGAGGGGCAGCCCCCGCCCCGCGCCCTCGCAGGAGCGGTCGCGGCGCGGCGCTGGCCTTTTCCTCCTGGCTGGGGGCTATAAGTGTCCCCCTGGGTGGCGTCTCTGGAGAGAATCTGGGATGGGGGAGGTCTGAGCTCGGCTTCTTTAAGAAAGGAGGGAGGGAGGGAAAGGCGCTCCGAGAGGCCCGGGCTGGGAAGCCGGGACACCGGCAGTGAAGAGGCCCTCCCCGCGGCTGAGTAAACCGAGGCACAGGGCAGGCCAGCCTTAGCTCTCCCCGTTTCTGTCCCCAGGGGAAGGGAGCCAGTGGCCTGTCATGGGTGCACCCAAGCTGGGAGGGCAAGGTTGGGGGTGCACCCAGCCTTCCCTTCGCACGTGCTGGCACTGCTGCCCCGCCCCCATGGGCACCAGCTGGCACCCTGGCAGAGTAGTCCTGGCTTGAGTGGGCCCCGGGGACCCTGCTGTGTTTCCAGGAGGTCGTCAGGCCCTGGGCACAGGGAGGGGCTGGCTGCCGCCCAGGGCCACTGGCTGGGGGGGGGGGGTGTGTGAGGCAGAGGGAATGGGTTGTTGTGCCCCAGCCACGGGCTGGGGGATGCTGTAGGTGGGTGTGCTGTGGAGGTGAGGACCCCAGCCTGCTTGGAGCCGGGATCCCGATGCCAGGGCCCCTGGCCTGGGTCCGGTCACCCTGGGTGGCACAGAGCCTAAGGAGGGCCTGGTCAGTGCTCTCGTGGGGCCTGGTGATGGAAACACCCACGGGCAGGCCACAAGCGCAGAGCCGCAAAGGGTCCCAGACCTTACACCCCCCGGGACAGGTTCCATTCCCGTCCTCGCCTGTGCATGGCAGAGTGACAGCTCAAGGTCACGGAGGCAGGTGCAGTGGAGCAGGCTGGGAGCCGGGACAGTGCAGCTCTGGCATCCACAGCTCCCGCTGCCAGCCGGGCCCTGTGGGAGGAACTTGATGGGCAGGGCCCGGGCAGCCTCACCACAAGCCAGGGGGCAGCCTGCAGAGTGCTCCGAGGCCCAGAGAGGTTGACCAAGTCGCCCTGGGAGTTTGTGGATGAGGCAGAGGCTCCCCAGGGGCCCACAGGGCAGCCGGGCTGCAAGGGGGATGGGAGAGAGACGGAAGCGGGGTGGGGGGCTCCCAGGTGGCTTCTTGAGAAGCAGGCAGTGGGGACAGGGCTGTCAGAGCAGGGCAGGGGTGGGGGAGGACAGAACGGGGAAGGCAGCCAGGACCCCGTGATGACCCAGGAGTCCCGACCTCAGTTCTGTCCTCAGCACCCCCGCCTGCGCCCCATTTTCCCTGGCACTGCCCTGGCTTCTCCACCCCAGGGGCCGCAGTCTGGGCTCGCATAGCAGTGGACGTTAAGGTAAATACCAGATATGGCTTTGCAATGAACCCCTTAACAATTATGTGGGGCGCAAAGGGTTAAGCTGTCGCTGGCTCCCAACACCCAAATCCCACATCCTTGCGTGCTGATCCCAGTCCTTGCTCCTCTGCTCCAGTCCGGCTTCCGGTTAGCGCACCTGGGAAGGCAGCAGAAGAACCCAGGGCTGGGGCTCCTGACACCACAGGGTGGCGCTCCTGGCTCCAGCTTCGGCCACTGTGGACATTTGGGGAGTAAACCAAATAGATGGCAGATTCTCTCTCTCTCTCTCTCTCTCTCTCTCTCTCTCTCTCCATATATTATAAATATATATGCCTTTCGAATAAAAATGAATAATTTTAAAAAATTATGCACTCATGTGCATCCCCCTGTTTAATTTTCATAGCAGTTCTATTATTTTTATCCCCATTTTATAAATCAAGATGCTGCAGATCCAGAGAGACTAAGTGACTTGCTCCAGGCCACGCAGCTCCTACATGGGGCCTAGACTCCTGAGCTCGCGTGCTTTCCTACCTCGTTCCCCCTTTGTGTTTTGTTTATTGCCTTTTATCTATTTAAAAGGTCGAAGGGGTGGGCGCTGTGGCATAGCAGGTAAAGCATCTGTGGCGCCGGCATCCCGTATGGGCGCCGGTTCGAGTCCCGGCTGCTCCACGTCCAGTCCAGCTCTCTGCTATGGCCTGGGAAAGCAGTGGAAGATGGCCCAAGTCCTCGGGCCCCTGCACCCATATGGAGACTCAGAAAAGCTCTTTGCTCTTGGCTTCGGACCAGCCCAGCTCTGGCTGTTGTTACCAATTGGGGAGTGAATCAGCAGATGGAAGATCTCTCTCTCTCTCTGCAACTCTGCCCTTCAAATAAATACATAAATCTTAAAAAAAAAAATAGAAAAACGTAGAAAGGGACCTCCTGTCCATTGTTTCACTTCCCCAAAGGCTTGCAAAAGCTGGGGCCGGGCCGGGCCGAAGCCAGGAGTCTGGAACTCGGTGCTTGAAGCTCCAGCAGGGAGCTGGATTGGAAGCAGAGCGGGGACTGGGAGCCAGGCACCCCGGTAATGAGGCGCGGGCCTCCCAAGCAGCGTCTTAACAGCTTCACAGAACACCTGCCCCCACTCTCCTTCTCCTAGGGTGCTCGGTGCTCATGGCCGCAGAGGCGGGGTCAAGGTGACGTCCGGGGCCGGGGGAGCCAGGGACCACAGTGGCAGCAGACCCTTCATGCCCGGTGCCTTTGGAACTCGCAGATGCAAGAGGAACACGCTTCCTGGCTGCTGTCCCCATGGCCCCCATGCCCTTGTGGCCTCTTATATGCTAGGAGGAGCCCGCCAAGGTGAGGATGGGCGTGTGGGGGGCCTCTCCCTGGACCCCTCCCAGGCTGGCCTCAGAAGAACAGGGGATCAGCCCAGCAGGGGAAACCCAGGTTTCTGCGCTGCCAGGGACAAGCCTTGGGCCCAGCCAGGGTCCTCTCGTGCCCAGTGGCTCGGGGAAACTTCTCCAGGGAATCTGGACACCCTGCCCCCCCCATCCTCAAATTGGGAGAACCTTTGACACCCACCTGCTGGGCCTGGAGTCTGGGGGTGGGGCACTGGGAGGGATGGCCTCTGGGCTGAAGCCCACTAGAAAGGAAAGCCATCCGTACAGCAGCACCCCGCGGGAGGCCACAGCAGACCAGCTCATCAGGGACCCCCCACCCCCACCCCGCGCGCCCAGATTCTGGGAGAAGGAGGCAGGAGGGAAGGCTGGCAGCTCCGAGCTTCTCCAGGCAGCCCCCGGGGCCGGGGGCCTGGGCAGGAGGAGGGGGCAGAGCAGCTGCTGGCGATTTATTAAGCAGTCACGGAAAAATTGGTTTATAAATTAACAGCTGTTTTAACTTTAGGGCCTCTTCTTCAGGGAATGGAAGCAGCCGACTGGACCGGGATTGGAGTGTGTGTGTGAGGCTCGTGGAGGGAGCGGGAGGCGGAGAACTCCAGCAGCTGGCATTCTTCGGGGGCAGTCTCAGCTGGCACCACGGCGGGCACCAGGCAGTGGCCGGAGCAGGGGGTCTCCAGGTGCCCGGGGCGGAGGCTGGCCCCGCTGTGGGCCAGTTTGCTCTCTTCCCGACAACATCCAGGCATCCACCTGGGGGCGCCAGAGGGCAAGATACGGCTGTACTCGTTTCTGCCACCAGAGGGCGGCGTCGGCACATTGATTTCTGCTGCTCCTGCGATCTGTCCAAACCCGGCTGGGCGAGGCGGAACCCAGGTCGAGGGCTGAGCCCGGAGAGGCCGTCCTGGCGCGGAGTCCTGACCGCGGCGTGGGCAGTGGGAAGGAATCAGGGCCCTGCAGTCGGACGGCGTGTTCGGGTCTGCGTTGCGGCGCTGCACCTGTGATGCCAGCATCCCGTATCCACTGTGGGTTTGAGTCCCGGCTGCTCCACTTCCAATCCTGCTCCCTGCTGATGTGCCAGGGAAGGCAGCAGAGGATGGCCCAAGTGTTTGTGCCCCTGCACCCACATGGGAGACCCCAGAGGAGTTCCTGGATCCTGGCTTCTGCTTGGCCCAGCCCCAATTGCTGTGGCCCACTGGGGGAATGAACCAGGAGATGGAAGATCTCTCTCTGTCTCTCTCTGTCTTTCTCTGACTGCTTTGCAAGTAAAAATAAATGACTCTTTTTCATTTTTTAAGACTGCATTTGAACCCAGACTCTGGGCAAAAACTTCTGAACCTTCTTAAAAAACTCATTTGTAGGCCGGCGCCGCGGCTCAGTAGGCTAATCCTCCGCCTAGCGGCGCCGGCACACCGGGTTCTAGTCCCGGTCGGGGCACCGGATTCTGTCCCGGTTGCCCCTCTTCCAGGCCAGCCCTCTGCTGTGGCCAGGGAGTGCAGTGGAGGATGGCCCAGGTGCTTGGGCCCTGCACCCCATGGGAGACCAGGAAAAGCACCTGGCTCCTGGCTCCTGCCATCGGATCAGCGCGGTGCGCCGGCCGCAGCGCGCTGGCCGCGGCGGCCATTGGAGGGTGAACCAACGGCAAAGGAAAGACCTTTCTCTCTGTCTCTCTCTCTCTCACTGTCCACTCTGCCTGTCAAAAAATAAAAAATAAAAAAAAAAACTCATTTGTAAAACGTACTCATGTCAAAAGCAGAGACATACACAGAACGAAAGCTTCTCCACCTGCTGGTGCAGCCCCAGATGGCAGCAGTAACGGGGGCTGGGCCTAGGCCAGGCTGAGGCCAGGGCCAGGGGCTCCATCGGAGTCTCCCACGGGGACCCAAGCAGTGGGCTGTCCCCCGCTGCCCCTAGGTGTGCATTAGTGAGCAGCTGGAGCTGGGAGCAGAGTGGGGGCTGGAATCCAGGTGGAGGGTCTGTGTTCTGAGCCCCGGCAGATGCCAGCCCCGCTGCAGGTCCTCACTTGCCTCATCTGTGAATGGAGGACGAGGCCCCGGCCCAGGGCCCAGCCGGCCGAAGTGCTCGGTCCACGCCAGTGCCGATGATGACGGCACTCTTCACCAGCTCCTCCATCAGCCTCTCTTCCCCACACGCTGGGGCCCACTGTGTTCCAGGCACTGTGGCAGGTGCGTGATGATGTAGAGACATGGTGGGAGGGACGCGTCTCAAAGTGTGCTGAGTTAGGGTGCACACACCGAGGAGACAGGGAGGTGCCCAAGAGAACATTGTGGGGTGACGAAACTTTCTATATTTGAGTTGTGATGACAGTCACATGCTAGGGGAGGTTTTTGTTTTAATATTTATTTATTTATTTAAATATTTTATTTATTTATTTGCGAGGTAGAGGTACAGACAGTGATAGGGAGGGACAGAGAGAAAGGTCTTCCCTCCATTGGTTCACTCTCCAAATAGCCGCAATGGCTAGGGCTGTGCCAATCTGAAACCAGGAGCCAGGTGCTTCTTCCTGGTCTCGCATGTGAATGCAGGGGCCCAAGGACTTGGGCTAATCTCTACTGCTTTCCCAGGCCATAGCAGAGAGCTGGATAGGAAGTGGAGCAGCCAGGACTAGAACCAGTGCCCATATGGGATGCCAGTGCCGCAGGTGGAGGATTAACCTACTGTGCCACAATGCTGGCCTCGTTTTAAGATTTATTTACTGGGCCGGTGTTGTGTTGTAACGGGTAAAGCCACCACCTGCAGTGCTGGAATTCCATACGGACACTGGTTCGAGTCCCGGCTATTCCACTTCCTACCCAGCTCTCTGCTATGGCCTGAGAAAGCAGAAGATGGCCCAAGTCCTTGGGCCCCTACACCCACGTGGGAGACCTGGAAGAAGCTCCTGGCTCCTGGCTTCGGATCAGTGCAGCTCCAGCCACTGTGGCCAACTGGGGAGAGAGCCAGTGGATGAAAGACCTCTCCCTCCCTCCCTCCCTCCCTCTCCCTCTCTCTACCTCTGTCTCTGCCTTTCTGTAACTCTACCTCTCAAGTAAATAATAAAATATTTATAAAACATTTATAAATTTATAAAATAAAAATAGATACAATGTATATATTTATACGGTAAAGTTTATTTGTTAAACATGTGAGCATTGATCTGGATTTCCTGAATGGGCTACAGGGTGCAGGATGGATGAATGGATGGAGCCTCCGATGGCAACCCCCGTCCTCGTGTCCCTGCTGTCCCCATGGAGGGGCTGTTGCCTGCCCTGAGGTGAGCCTTGGAATTCCTCCTTCTGCTCCCTTCCCTCGCCTCACCCTCTCTCCTTTTCCCCAGCAGCAGGGAAAGATGGCCCCGTGTGCTCAGGCAGCCTCCCCAGCTGCTCTAAGACTGCTTCCCAGGACTTCCTGGGGCCTCCCTTCCAGCTGCCACATGCAGCTGCCCAGCCAGCTCTGTCTCAGTGATGCCAAGGTCACCCGTGCGATGCCCAACTACAGACCTGCAGTGCCAGCAGTAGTGGCCCAAACCCTGGCCAACTCTGCCATCTGCTGGCCTCTTTTGGAACTGCATCCCTTGCGTTCCAGGGACTCCGGGGGTGCTGTGCTGGGCTGAGCACTTTATTAAGGTTCATCCTAGACAATAGTCATGGCCACTGTGTGAAGTGGGCTTTGAAATCTAAGGCGGGGGCTGGCGCTGTGGTGTGGCACGTAGAGTCGCTGCCTGCGGCGCTGGCATCCCATATGGGTGCCGGTTCAAATCCCAGCTGCTCCACTTCAGATCCAGCTCCCTGTTAATGTGTCTAGGAAAGCAGCGGAAGATGGTCCAAGTGCTTGGGCCCCAGTCTTCCTCATGGGAGACCTGGAAGAAGTTCCTACCTCATGGCTTCGGACCAGCCCAGTTCCAGCCGTTATGGCCATCTAGGGAGTGAACCAGCAGATGCAAGACCTCTCTCTCTCTTTTTCTTTCTCTCTCTCTTTCTCTCCCTCTCTCTCTGTAACTCTGCCTTTCGAATGAAGTAAATAAATCTTTAAAAGAAAGAAAGAAACAAAGCTAAGGCAATCGAGGCACAGAGACCCTAAGGCATTTTTGTTCAAGTTCACACAGTAAGTACAGGCCTGAGATTCCTACAGAGAGCTGTCAAACTCGGCAGTTTGACATGAGAACATCTTTTGGGAAGAAAAAAGGGAGAATATTTCAGACTGCCCCTCTCCTCGCCTCCCAGAAACAGGGCCAAGGGCTCACACCACCCTCCCACGGGTGCCCGGGGGGCCTCCTCGTGCCGGGCACCCCAGCTGGCACAGGGCAATGACTCAAAGAGAAACGGCGCAGAATCGCGTGCTCAGCCCCGAGCCCCGCAGACGCCCTGCCCGAAGCTTCTTGAAGCCCCAGAAGACCAAGTTCAACCCAAGTGAAGTCAAACAAGGTCTTGAATTCGTTCCTCGGGCCCAACCGCCTGTGCTTCTTAGTCAAGAATAATAACCGAGGAGTGGCATATTATTTTTACATCTCATTTGCATATGATTAATGCTAAGTGGCCACCTTGGCCCCTTCCTCCTCCATGCCCCAGGCCCATGCGCCTGGCCCAGGCTGCCTCCTCCAGCCCTGCGGGGCTCCACCAGCCTCAGCAGCCCCTCCCCACCCCACCCCTGCTCCCCCCAAGTCTCCTTCCTTCCCTCCTCTGCCACCCACGTAGCCCCTACCACCTGGCCGCCCACCTGAGAAACTTCTCCCCAAGTTCTAGAGAAGTCGCGTAGGATCCAGGAGAGAAAAATCAAAGTAATAAAACCTCATTTAATTCCTAGCGGAGGGCAGAGCTGTTCGCTGCAATTATCTTACTGCGGAGCTATTTTTACTCCCTCTCCATCTCCGTCTCCTGCCCCTCGCCGGCGTGAGGCTTCTCCCTCTGCCTGCCTTGCCTCCTCTCACAGCCCTGCTGTCTCTGCCTCCTCTCTCGTCCCGCCTGTCTCCACCCGCCTCGGCCAGTCTCCCCGACCCTGCCCGGCCCCAGCAGGTAGCAGCCAGCAGTGTGGGTGCCTGGACAAAGGCCGGTGCAGAGGGTAAAGACCTTCCCTCTGCCCCAAAGGCCCCATCCTCCGGGCCCAGTAGAGAAGGAACTCCGGCTCTCAGCCCTCCTCCCAGCTGCCCCCGCCCGGGGTCAGGGGAGTTCCTCCTCCTCCTGACCCAGGGCCTCCCTTCAGCCCTCCGTAAACAAGCCCCGCCTAGCCACAGGCAGTCCAGCTGCGGGGGCCGCAGGGCCTTTGACCCTCCGATGGGCTCTCAGCTGCACTGGTGGCAGGGCCTCCCTGTCCCGCCATGGCCCACCCAGCTGGCCCCTGGTGCTTCCATCCCGCCCCATGCCCCAACACTGGAAGCCACAGGTCCCTCTGCCCAGTGGTTGTTCAGGTGACTACGGCCTGAGCCATGAGCTTCCTGTGCCCCTTCTTAGCCAAACTGGTCTGTGCCAGCCCCACCCCCCCCATCTGGAACAGGGGTTCTGGGCCAAGCCAGGGGCTGCCAGAGACGCCCACACCCCTGGGCCAGCAACCCAGCATCCGGCTGTCTCCTGAGAAGTCCACAAACAAACACAGGAGGAGCTGAGCCAGGCCTGGGGGGCGGGGCGGGGCGGGGGGGGGGCGTAGAACTGAGGGAACAGGACCTCCAGCTCCTGTGGGTCCGCCTCCCCCTCATCCCCGCCCGAGGTTGCCCCTGACCCCATTTCCCTAAGGATCCTCTGGCCTCTCGTGGTGCCAAGGGCCCAGCACCCTGGGGCAGGGGAGAAGGGATTGGAAAAGTCACCCTGGGAGCTGCGGTGGAGGGCTGCTGGCTGTCCCGGGCTGGAGTGACCAGGAGGGAAGACAGCCAACACAAACAGAGCTCAGGGAGGACACAGGCGTGTGCACGCGTTTCCACGCGCCCCCTCGCCCGCAGCGGAAATGCCGTCTCCTGCAAAGACTCCACGGACAGATAAACATCCTGGACAGATGCAGGGACAACAGCCCCTCTCCTGCACACACACAGCGCACCTCCAGAAAGACAGGCACATGCACCTGGCTTCCCCAGCTTCTTCCTGATCACGCACACGTGCGACACGTGTCTGGGTGCAGCAGCCCCCAGCCACCCTCCATTCAGCCCCCCGGGCTGGCTCTGTCCTCCCTCCTCCCCTCGGATCAGGGCCACACGGGCAGAGGACACGTGCAGCCTGGGCATGACACCCCTCTTTCCCCGGGAGCACTCATCAGTCCACAACCTCACCCCCTCCACTGCAGGGGGAGGCACACGGCCCCAGCCCCTGCCAGCTCCACAGCCTGCCCATCACCTCCACAGCCTCTGTCACCTCCCCCGCCCCCGCCCCCACACACCAGGCCTCCCACACGCTGCCACTCACACCCGCGCCTTTGACACCGACACACTGGCACTCACACACACTCACGCTCACAGCGCCGACACCCCCCGCGTACACACGCACCCAGTCCCCAGCCACGGCACCGCAGGCCCCTGGCACACACTCCCTGCCACGGTGACTGACAGGTGTCCTCCCACGCACACCTCGTTCACGCTCACTCGCTTTCTGGGACACCCCCATTCACAGCGTGACAAGCGGGTCTCTCCCGCAGGCCTCCCGCGCAACTCCAAGCCCCAGGCCGGGAAGTGGTTACTGGGAGGCCCGCTGCCCGCTGACCCCCCGCCATGCTCTCCGCGGGACACCATCAATAATGCAGCCTCAAGTTCTGGGGTGACGGCAGGGGGCCCCCAGCCCGCTCCAGCCCCTGTTCACGCCCCCACCCCACCCCCCCAGGCGCAGGCAGAGCGCGGTTCTCGGCGCTCATTGGCCACCTCTTGCTGTGCCCTCCCTCCAAGGGGACGGGCTGGGACCCCAGGGCTGGGACCCAGGGCTGAGCCCTACAGAGACACCGGAGAGGGCGAGGCGGAAGGAGGGAGGCAGAAGGAAAAGGCGCAGGGACACCCAGAGCCAGGAAGGAGGGAGCGACTGAGACCCACGAGTCGGGGTGCGCCGGGGGACCGGGCAGAGCCGCGCGGCGAGCCGGAGAACCGGGGGCGCGCCGAGCCCGCGCCTGGCCCGCCGGCGAGCCCGGGCGGTCGCCCCCAGCTCTCGCGCCCGGTCCGCGCTGTGCGCGGTATTTTTATCCGTGCGTGAACAGCCCTCCTCCTCCTCCTCCTTCTCCTCCTCCTCTTCCTCGCCGCCCGCAGCCCGCCGGCAGCACCCGGAGCCGAGCGCGAACCGCAAGCGAGACCCCGAATCGCGCGCCCCGCCCGCCATGGACCCCAAGGACCGCAAAAAGATCCAGTTCTCGGTGCCCGCACCCCCCAGCCAGC